CAAGCTCTTGCGGTGTCCCTGACTATCGGCTAAGCTAATAAACTAAACTAAACTAAACTCATGAATTTGAATGGGTCAAAGCTATGGACTTGAATTAACCCTTCCCCAAAAGCGACCAGAATCTAATTTCTCCTTGCAATGTCACCCCTAAATCAAACATTAAGGTCAGGAGAATAAAGGAAACGATCACCAACTTAAGAAGCTTTTGATCGTCAGTACCTCAGGAAATTTAATCAAAACAGTATATGTATACTTATGTTAGGTTGTAAAGGGTTAATAACTAAACGAAATTAAGAGGTAAATCTTGAAGGCCATTTTCCAAACCCCATTCCCCGTTTACAAATTGTTAAGAGTGTGGGCAACTCCTTCCGTATGCCTACACAAGTTTTTCTTTGTCTTAAATATGTTATTCATTTTAAATCAGTTGAAAACATTCGACTAACGAATGGAAGTTCTACCTCATTTAGATCTATATCATAAGAAAAATGCTCAATATGACCGAACCAGCACTACTCTAGAGCTCTGGTGTTACCTTCCTCTATTGGTCACATATGTACCTCTTGCATGTGTAGTCATGTATGTCTCAGATCGAGACAGATACATGTTGCATACATGTGCAGTTATTAAACGTAGGAAATGTATCGCCGGATAACGGACTTTGGAGCTCATTCCTGGGGACAGTTTGCATTTTTGCTAAACATACAATAATAAATGCAAATTTTGCATAGACATTTTTAATTTGAATTTCACATACATATACACCATTAAATTGGAATAGCATTTAGTGTGATAAAACGCATAAACGTTCATGTTTACGGAAAATGCAACTTTTGATTCACGTAAAAGACAATTCATGAGATCACTTCGCCATATTCACGTACGCAGCAAGGCACCTTCCTTTCGATATTTTCAAAGTCTCACTAAAATTATAACCTAAGCATTTCATTTCAAATCTATATTTAGGTCCTCAAGACTTCAAAGATCTTCACACGAGAGCACCAAGGTTTTTGAAGATTGTTTTCAAGATACTGCGACTTTTTTAGCTACACCATAAGCGAGATAGCGCAAAGTAAACAACCTTTATAATGCAAATGTAAATTAATTTCAGAAAGAAGAAAGAATCTCGAATTGTCATTAATGTTTAAATTCCAAACAATTATTTCAACTGATTAGCTTAAAAATTGTC